GAGGACCCTTGACAGAGAAGAGGAGAATGCTTCTTTGTCTCTAATAAGATCTTGGATGATGTTCAGTCCCCTTCTCCCTGACTTTTTATGTAACTCATCATTTGCTTCGACCAGGCTCACATGTTTTACGGTATCTCACAGCCTGAGAGTGAAAAACAGCATGAAAAATTACTCTAGACATTAAATATGGCATCGACTGGAGTTTGTTATCATATTGAGGACGGCCAGGGAAAGATACATTTGTTACAAAGGTAATATGAGACTTCGCGGAGAAGAAGAAACACAGCAGTGAGCCGAATAAACACAATTAGCTCTCATTTAGGTCAAGCAGATACACTGCATCTAACATTCGCATTCTGCTTTCGTCGGTGCCCGAGATATTTGTCCGTGTCCGCCCGTGCCAGGGCCATCTTGCATCATTCGCCCTTAATAAACACATACCAACGTGCTTACAGTAACGCTACAGCACATATTACGATTTTCCAAGCCCTGGGTTTCTTTCCTCAAACTGTTTGCAATTATACATAGGCTTTTTGACTGCACAGGACAGGTCGCACTCACTCGATGTGAAATTTCCTCTGTGATTGTAAAGAGGATGTAGGTTTGGGACTAGAAGTGGTCAGCATCTGATTTCAATTTGAAAGTGCTTATTGACAGAGTGATCTGTTTAAACTCAGCACACATGATATTGCCTGCATGAGATGTCACAGCTCTTTCCTTCGCTCTCTTTCTCCCACTCAAACACACAGAGCCCTGTTTCCCTGTGCGCTTTCAACAGCTACACAAATGCACACACTTGAAACTATTCAAATCAATAGAGATTACAGGGAGAAGCTTTTAAATACACTGTATATATGCACAGTTCAGTGGATGTACTGTACAAAACACATTTGCTACATTAATTGCATATATGGCATATTAATGTTGATATATAACTGTCTTCAACTATATTTGGTAGATAGCATTCACTATTTATTAGGTGTAAAGTGAGCATTCTTTGTATAACAAAAAATACATTAAAGTTATGATGAGATATTTTGATACTAAAATACATATTCTTATCAAATAAAAAGAGGAGATATCATATTTTGTTTTTACGCACATTTCTATAACAACAAAACCATATCAATGTTATCAGTTATCATGCTATATGTTATCAATGTGAGGTATTTTTATATTATTCGTTATTTTTGATATATTAGACAAACATAACGAGATCAAAATATCTCATAACACTGACATGATTTTGTTGTTATAAGGATATGGCTACTTAATGCTTTTTAAATAATTACTCTTATCTTACAAATATAAATACAGTTACATAGTAACATTAATGAAGCATATTTACAACAAATAAACTGTGAACTTTAGCCAAGTACTGTTAATCATAATACATTACTGTACTCATCTATTTAGCTGTTTTAATTTTAAATAAGAGCTTCTTAAAGTAGCTCATAAAAATCCAGACTTGTAAAATAAAATAAAATAAAATAAAATAAAATAAAATAAAAATAAATAAAAATTATAAAAAATAATAATAAAATAAAATAAAATGTGTTTACAATTGTTAAAAGTTGTTTACAAATGTATTTATTTATTTATTTATTACAAAAAACTGTCAAAAATCATATTTCTTTCGGTCACACTTTATTTTAAGATCCAATTCTCGCTATTAACAAACCATTAACTATGACTTTTGCCTCAATAAACTTCTAATTAGCTGCTTATTAATCATTAGTAAGGTTGTTGTAAAGTTTAGGTATTGTGTAGGATTAGGGATGCAGAATATGTGCTTTATAAATACTAATAAACAGCCAATATGTTAATAATATGCATGCTAATAAGAAACTAGTTAATAGTAGGGAACTGGTCCCTATATTAAAGTGCTACCTTTCTTTCTTCTAAATGTTAGAAAAATACATTTTTAAAAGTTGACAATTAAGAGGAAAATGCCAAAATTGTTAATAAATATTTTCTTAAGAATATTGTACGAAAAAAGTCCTAAAAAGAGTCAACATTTGTTGTGAAATGTAATGAAAAAGCATTAAGAAAAATGTCAATGTTATAAAAAAATGATGACAATATAATCTATAATTTCTTATTTAAGATCAGTTTGACCCCATGCCTCGTAATGACAGATTAATGGTCAGCAACAGCCTCACACTGATAAGCCGAGTGAAATAAACACACACCTCAATCAATCAGCACATTTCTAAACCACACAAAAAGTCCAAAGTAAGAACCAAAGTGGCACCGCCTGTATCTCTCTAAATAGGAATGTATGGCAGGAACAGGGCATGTTCAAGCGAGCCGGTCGGTCTGCCTTAACTCGGTCCAGTTATAATCAGAGATGACCTCAGCAGGGTGATGAAGACCGGGCTTCCTGCCCGAGTGACTGAGGCCTGAGCTGGCCGTTTCGGGGACTAGGACTGCCCACCCCCCTGAACACATTCCCTCAATGCTGAGGTGGGGTTTCCTCAGCTGGAGAACATGCCACTCTGTCACCTTCACTCATATATGGAGGCTTCAACCCCTGTATGTGCACATACCGTGGGTTCAACAGGGCATTATGGGACATTAACACTCAGAGCTCTGATTCAGAGTGTCACTATTGTTTTCACTGTCGCTTGAAATGCTAAAATCTGTATCGATCTGGTTTAAAAATGAACAAATGCTACACAACAGTCAGAACTATGTGTGAATGTAATATTTTCTTTACTTGACGAATAAATTATTTTTGGATACAACTACATTTTGTGTATCTTTCATCAAAAAAGTTACTTCTTGAATGCCGCTAAAACCACTAGCTGTGACTCAAACCTGCTTTTAAGTAAAAAAAATATGCATATCTCTGATTATTTTTCTGATTCATATGAGATACTCTTACAATGGTGACCAATCAATTAATAATGTCCTTGCATTAAACAAACAAACAAAAAAAACACACCAAAAATGGCAATTGTAAACGAAAATTTTAAATTAATTCATTTTAATTAATTTACATGTAAAATTTAGCACCATTGTACCCTTATAGAAAACAATATGTGTGAGCGGCTGAATCTTAGAAAGTGCCAAATTTTTTTTTAAAGTTATATTTATGGGCATTTTATGCCTTTAATGTGAGAGGACAGTGAAGAGTTGACAGGAAAGCATTGGGTGGAGAGAGGGGAGCAGGATCAACAAAGAACCTCGAGGCGGGAATCGAACTCGGGTCGCCGTGAGCACAGTTGAGCTATATGTCGACGCACTAACCACAAGGCTATTGGCACCGACAAAAAGTGCCTAATATTTTTGCCAAGTTTTATTCATAATTTTACAAAAATGTTACCAGGTCAAAAATGACCTTAAGACAATGTAAGGGTTAAAATAAATGTCACTTAGTTTGATATTGTGCTGTCTAATGCAATGGCATTCATGCATTTTTATTTGTGGTTTAGGTGGCAAAATACTGTAGAACTTTTGTTACAATGACGCCCTCTACTGATAAAATCCAATGTCTGTTAAACTTAAACCTGTTCACACAACACACAGTAGGTCAAAATAATACTGCCCTCATTTTGCAAAGATCCACTGAGTGAACGCATACATTTTTGATAATAATTTATCCCTTATTATGATGTCGAGGCATGCTTAGTGTGCTAAATGTATTGAAGTCAGTTAATGACAACTTCTGCAGAACTCAAAAGAAGATACTTTGAAGAATGCTGTAAGGCTAATCAAAACCAACATGTTTGTCACGTATGGACAGCATTGAGGGGGAGTAAATCATTTTCATTTTTGGGTGAACTATCCCTTTTATTAGGATGCTACACATTTACACAACAACCAGAAATCCTGACAAGATATTTGGAAAATGAGCAACAACCAAGGAAAAATAGTCACCGTTTCACTCATAAATGATCAATAGTAATAGTTAGATAATGATTTAATTATTTTACTAAGTGCAAAATGTGTTTAATTCCAAAACGTTGTCATTTACCAATGTGTTGTTCAAAACACTTTTCAGGTTTTTAATGTTTAAACTGATTAAATTTTACAATACAAGTAAGTAAATGTAAGCGCAATTTTGCATTTTGCAAACATGGTAAATATTTTATCTACACTTATTGTACACCTGCTGTTGTTGTTTTTGTCTGTAGTTGCACAGTTTTGTAAATAAATTGCTTTGTAGCCTAAATAATTTTCTTCATGCCAGTTTGATCAAGTGAGCTCTTTACAAATGGACATTTAGGTGAACTGTAAACGTTAGGTTAAGCCAACCATTGATACGGTTACATTTCTGCTGTAGCTATCTTTTAGCTGCTCATTTTAAAGGGCAGACTCTTAAATTAAACTTGTAAAAAACTTAAATATTGAATTAAATTAAAGGGCTATGACCAAAACAAAATGTCAAAGTTGTTTACGAAATGTTTTTACGAAAATGGTCTGGACAACAATATCAGAACTGTTAGTTAGACATGTTACAAATACTGTATCATATTTTTTGCCTGCTTTGCTTCTGCGGTTATTCATATTAACTCCAATTCCCATAACACACTGCTTCAACACAGACTCGATGGGAAGTTCCATTCATTTCCGAGAATCGGTTCTTTTGAACAGTGCATTCAAAGAACCGCTTCTAAGAAACGATTCAGTGACTTTTTGACGTGACAACGTAAATTTGTCATCAGGTGATCAATGACATCTCGGCGTGGCCTGTAAAATGTCCTAAACCTGTATGTTAGTCACTGTGTATTATGTCTTAAAATGTGTTTATTGTAATTTCACGTGCCTAGTTTAGTTTGTTGCAGGCGCAGCCATGACTTATTTACTTATTTAGTTACTCCTAAAACATTTGTGTTTTTAATGTTGAGAAAACTGCCATCCAATTAACTCCTAAACATTTTGAATACATAATTCATTTGTAATATTACCACTATTAAGGTAACTTGCCTTTCGCACTGTTAGCTCCCTTTTCGCGCTCCATGCGATTTAAACATGTCTGAAAAAGACGCGGTTCTTGTGAGTCGGTGAGTTGACTCGAGAACTGCTCTTACCGATTCAGTCTGTGAATGAATCGTTCATACCGGAACAGGTTCATTTGATTCTGTGAAAAGATTCAACCGAAAAGAACGACTCGCTCGCGATTCGAACATCGCTATACAACATTCTAGAGCGGAGAGAAAGGCAGCAGATTCCTCTCATACTGCCACTAAAACAGACACACACAGAGACAGGCGCATATTTTCCCACATAAATGGAGGCACGGCCATCGGGCGCCATCAAACAGCCCTAAACCTGTAAACATGGTGAAGGACCAAGAAGTGGAGCGCATCGCAAAGAAGCTGGACAAAATGGTGCATAAGAAAAACACTGTAAGTGTGACACATTTGCTATAGCTTCTGAAACACAGGTAGGGGAGAGAACTGTTGATTTCATCCACGCGTTCGTTTCTGTTTGTCTACATTAAACAAGAACGAGATCTAGTTACTCTGTGTGTGATTATCACCTGTTTCATCCTCATCCAGACAACCGCCGGGCTGTTATTGGTCAATCCTCATGCAAAATCGGCTTTTACTCTCATGTTTGAAGCGTTTGTGTAACATTACTGTGATGAGCTGGCAGCTGGTTGTTCTCCAAATTTCTCCAGCGCAAACAAAAGACTAATTTAAGCCAACATTTCACACCAGTCAGTCCCAGTTTTGTCCCCAAAACACAGCATTTATGTGCAGACTGGCTGTGTTTTTCTATGAACCAATGTAGTTGAAGCAACCTATAGTTGAAGAAGCCAGTGTTTACGTTTGAGAAGTTGTTGTGTAACTGTCCTTCCTCCTCGTTGTGATTTTATCTTCAGGATGGTGCCATTGACCTGCTTCGGGAGCTGAAGAACATGAAGATGTCTTTGGAGACCCTACAGGTATCTCAGCAGGACTGGAGACGGCGTCTGTGGGCAGAGCATGTGCTGCCTTGGATTACATAATCATGGTTTTCTCTTCCAGTCAGGGAATCCCATGCTGCTGTTCTCATTGGCTATGTTTGGAATGGCATACTGCTCATACTATTTTTGCAGTGTGTAGAATGTAATCAGTATTTATGTAAAATGTACGTGGGTGTAGAATATCTGGATGACCTACTACATTGTCCAGAAAGTGCAGTATACATCAGAGCAGATTGCACAGAATACTGTATACCACAATGGATTGATGAATGAATAATTTGGACTAAGTAACGATCCTGTATATATTTTCTCTCATTATTTGATTGTATTTCCAAAAGTTCCATAATTTTTAAAAAGGCAAAGTACTACGTTTTCTATACCTCAGATGCAGAGCATAAAAAGTATGCAACATTCAGTCTATGCAACATCATAGACTGAATGTTGCATACTTTTTATGTTGTTTTTTTTAATACTAGTGTACACAGTACATACTGCAGTATGCTAGTATTCCATTCTGAACAGAGCCAGTGGTTCAAATGCACTACTGTATGTATACAGTATATTTGTAACTGCCTGCTTTACATGCTTGTCTTAAGAGTGCATTTACTGTAGGATTATTGTCATTAGCTATTATTTTAGTATCAATTGAGATACTATTATAATTTTTAATTATTATTTCATATTAGTTTTAAAATATTTTATGCGTTCTGTTTTAGTTAAAGTTTGAGTAATTTTGTTGGGTCTTTTGTATTTGTTTTTTAAAATATTTCTATATAGTTTTTATTCAAATTTATTTCATTTTTTTAGTTACTTAAGTTAAACAACTGAAAATTAGATTTTTAAAAAATATTTATTTCAGTTAACCCTTAGTTTATTTCAGGTAATGAATGTTTTTTATGGTTTTCATTTCAGATGTAGTTAACTAATAACCCTGGAATGGATATATTCAGTATGGTTGGAGTTAATGTACAGACAAATAGGCTTTAAATTAATCCCTGAGGAGAAATTCAAACACAACAGAGCAGTGATACACAGAAGAAAAACCCCAGAGCTGTGTTTTAGTCTTTCCAGATCAGTCCCTGATTTATTGTGATTAAAATATTAAAGGTTATCATGCCTATTGTACTGCATTTAAATAGCTGAAAATCTTAAGCGGTCATTTGCTCGTTCTTTTATTCAATAATGATCTCCACTTTTCTGAGCATTTTATAGCAGAAGAATGATCAGGTAGTCAAAGCATCATAATGTGTTATTTGATAGTTATCTGTAACACTTGTGTCATATGTATTTAATGAGTTATAATGTATCACAAATTGGATGTTGTGATAGTCCAATGATATATTTAATGTAACAAACGTGATCTTCCATCTGTTTCATTGCGTCGCACGCTGCAGTCCACGCGGATCGGGATGTCAGTGAATGCAGTGCGGAAGCAGAGCTCGGATGAGGAGGTGCAGACACTGGCCAAATCTCTCATCAAGACCTGGAAGAAACTGCTGGGTACTGCATTCCTATTCACACTCACACAGCTTAAAAAGATGGTGTTTCACTTATTTTAGAGTGAATGACAGTGATTGAGAAGGAGACTGTAGAATTTCCTTCTAAAAAGTGGTGGGATGAAGCTGCTGTGTAGTGCTGTCAAACGATTAATCGCGATTAATCGCATCCAAAATAAAAGTTTTTGTTCACATAGTGAACATGAGTGTGCGTACTGTGTATATTTATTATGTATATATAAATACACACCCATGCATGTATATATTTAAGAAAAATATGTTAAGTTTATATATTACATATATTTATATATACATGTAAATATTTTCAAAATATATATATACTGTGTGTGTATTTATATATACATAATAAATATACACAGTACACACAGATATATTATGTAAATAAAAACTTTTATTTTGGATGCGATTAATCGTGATGAATCATTTGACAGCACTACTGCTGTGTTTGCTTTCCAGCTCTTACTGTCTTATGGATGTTAACTTGGTGATAGTGAACGCAATGAGCATGTGTTCTGATATTAATGCTGGATTGTGTGAATATTCTTTTATGCAGATGGTTCTGAGGGTAAATCGGAGGAGAAGAAAAAAGGAGGATCTCCGCTCCAGTCCTCATCTTCTAAAGACTGTCCTGGATCCAGTGACACCAGGTGTGTGGATTCTAACCATTAAAGTTGCCTTGAAATTAAAATTCATCCTATCTGTTTTTAAAATACATATTATAGATCTTATTGTGAACAACTCATCCATGCATGTTTCATTTAAAAAACGAGCAGGGTAGCAGACAAAATATATTTCAGCCAGCATAAAGCTGATATACAGTATACAGTGGGTACGGAAAGTATTCAGACCCCCTTAAATTTTTCACTCTTTGTTATATTGCAGCCATTTGCTAAAATCATTTAAGTTCTATTTAATTTAAAGATGGCAAATAACACCTGCTGCAATGACAAAAATATTTATTTTACATTATATTTACTAAATTAGGTAACTATTTGAAAATGAGTCATTATGAAAAAAAATAATTTGAACTTAATGTAAAAAAAATAAACAGATCTATACTCTTAATAGCAACTTCTAGATTCTTTAAACCTATTATAGTATATTTGACAAATATTTATTTAACAATATTGTTTTTTAAAATATGAATAAAACGTAATGGAACACTAAATTTTTGATGTATTTGTGTTTTTACAATACATATTATTTTAAGCAGTTGTACAAACTGTGAAATATTGTTACCTTTTGTTGTCTAGTAACAAGCTGGAGACACCAAAAACTCCCACCACCCCAGTCATCCCCAAATTCACCACCTTCCCACCTGCACCCGTCACCACGGACAGCGTGCGCACTAAATGCAAAGAGCTGCTGGTGGCGGCCCTACAGACTGATGGTAAAAGCTGAACCAGTTCAACTATTTAATAATGCACTGTAAAAGCTAATAGTACAATTTACAAAATACGTTCATTTCACTCAAATATGAAAGAAAGTTCACTGCACTTCACAACTTAAGGGAACTAAAATGTTAAATTAACTGTTATTGAATGTATTTTTGCAAAAGATGACTATGGGGGAGATTTGTGGATTAAAAATTTTAGTTTAGTTAAAATATTGGAGTTAATTTGAGTTGATTTATGCTTTGTGTTTTTTTTTTTTTTTCTCAGGTGATTACCAGACGATCGGTGTAGACTGTGAACACCTGGCAGCACAGATTGAAGATTATATCCTTCTAATTACCAAAAGCTACATTAGCTAGTGTTATGTCGGGATGCTCAACACTGGTCTAGATAGAAAACCTGGAGAAAGCTATGCAGTAGCATTCCTATTAAGCTTGAAAGTGGTTATTTGAAGGTGCGGGACCAAATATGTGATTTGAAATCTGCCGTCTCTGCTCATTGCCAGTTGTTTTTGAGCCAGTCCCTTGAGCCATAAATGAGCCAAGTTAATCTGGAGCTATAGGAAAAAATACGTCATATAGCTGATGGCACCATAAGAACACAAAATCCCAAACCTTTCCCTAGTGACTATCCCGAGCTGTAAAAGGCAGCAGATAGAGAAAAATATAATGCTTTTAAGAGCCCTTCAAAATATGGCACTTATAAAACATCTACTATGTTTAAAAATTTAGTTTTTTTTTTTTTTTTTTTAAATAAGTCACCAAGGTTGCTTTTATTTGAGCAAAAATACAGTAAAAACAGTAATATTGTAAAATATTTTTCCAATTTAAAATAACCGTTTTCTATTTTAATATATTTTAAAACGTCATTTATTTCTGTGACGGTAAAGCTGAATTTTTAGTCTTCAGTGTCGCATGATGCTTCAGAAATCATTCTAATATGCTGACGCAACAGTAGGTTACAAATACAGTCCTTCTAAAATTATTTGCACACTTAAGCCATATTTTAAAAAAGAAAACCGGGTGGATCAAGTTTCTGAAACACAAACAGCCCCGCATTTCGAAGCAAATTCGCACAAGTCTTTGATTCGCTCGCATGTCTGAAAGGAAGTTTGCAAGTGGGCTTAAACTGCATTGAAGCATGAAATGAGCAGGAATGCACAATCTCTCTCCGCAGGTCCAGACACGCAGCGCAGATGAACCCATGACCACCTTCGTGCTGAAAATGTTGTGCTGCTTAATATTTTTTTTGTAAATGGCAAAGTGCAATATGGCCCTGAATTGGTAATAGAAAGTAAAAAAAAACAGCATTAATTTGAAATAGTAATCTTTTGCAACAATATAAATGTCTTTACTGTCACTTTTGTATCCGTTTGAATACCATGGTAGTATATAAAATATACAGTACACATACAAATATGTCAGAATACAGAACTTGGAATAGAGAAAGATGTATTTTGCCTGTAAATTGTGTAATTACAACATCTACCAGTAGAGGCCATGATCGCCAGCCAAACCTTGAACTTTTACCTCAAGCAAACAGTGCAATGTTTTGATTGTGCCACAGTATTTACACTTTTCATTTACACCTTTTGGTTACGTTTCCATTCGCCAGCGAATAATGTTTTACTTTCAGTCGTCTTGCTGCGAAAGGAGAAAATATTTTAACATTTAAAAAAAAAAAAAAATGCATGCTTCATCTTTATAGGAAAGTGTAAAATAATGCAGCCGGGTTTGTGCTTTCTTAACTGTACTTCATGACACATATCTACCAGGAGTTCAAGTCCACTGACATGAAGTACAAAACCAGACTGAGGAGTCGCATCTCCAACCTCAAGGACCAGAAAAACCCAGACTTACGCCGGAACGTCCTGTGCGGCAACATCTCTCCAGACCGCATCTCTAGCATGACCGCAGAGGTATGTTTGGGTCTGACTTTGGCCTGCGAAGTGTTAAATTGCAGCTTCTCTGCAGGATGTGAAATGTGTTTGTGTTAATTGCGTGTTTGGCAGGAGATGGCAAGCGCTGAGCTTAAAGAGATCAGGAAAGCGCTGACCAAGGAGTCCATTCGAGAGCATCAGCTCTCCAAAGTGGGCGGCACCGAGACTGACATGTTCATCTGTGGAAAATGCAAGGGCAAGAACTGCACTTACACTCAGGTATGCTGTTATAACAGACCAGAAATGTTTAAACTTGCCGAATCTTAATTTATGGTGGGGAGAATAACAGTATTCAAATGTGATCCCTGAAGACACATCACATGACATGATGTCAATGGCGATTGGAACCAGTGATATTTGATGTCATTTAAGAGTGATTAAGCACTTATATTTTAGTAGCAATGGTGCAATTTAAACCACTTTTAAGGTGCTTTTCTGTCATTTTGGAAGGCCCTTATCTGCATTCACTATATCATAATATGGAAAACATCTCAGAACATCCTTAAAGATAGGGATGGATAACATCCTTCTGTTTCCCACAGAAGAAAAACACAAAATCCACCAATAGTCAAATTTACCAGCATAACTGACTGCATAAATTGGGTATAAGGAAATAATCAATTTAATGAGGTTTATTTAAAACTAGCTGAAGGCAATAGAACAAGATAAAATGCAGGGGAGACCAGGGTTAGTTGTCATAAGATTTATATCGCAGTAGCTATAAGATAAGAAGTAATAAATGCTGGTGTTCTCTGGCAGTTGTCAGTTTCACACACTTAATACAATACTTACATATTTTATTTTAAATGTTTATTATTTTAAAGATTTTATTCAAATTTATTTTAAAAATTAAATATTTTCCATCATATTTAAATATTTATACATTTTATATATATATATATATATATATATATATATAATAATGCATCCTTGCTGAATTACAGTATTTTTTATTTTTTTTTATCTTAATTTATGGTGGGGAGAATAACAGTATTCAAATGTGATCCCTGAAGACACATCACATGACATGATGTCAATGGCAATTGGAACCAGTGATATTTGATGTCATTTAAGAGTGATTAAGCACTTATATTTTAGTAGCAATGGTGCAATTTAAACCACTTTTAAGGTGCTTTTCTGTCATTTTGGAAGGCCCTCATCTGCATTCACTATATCATAATATGGAAAACATCTCAGAACATCCTTAAAGATAGGGATGGATAACATCCTTCTGTTTCCCACAGAAGAAAAACACAAAATCCACCAATAGTCAAATGAAGATGAGTAAATGAATTTTGAAGTAAACTATCCAAACTAGCATTTGTTGCTTGTTTTTATTGTGCTTCAGATGTTTTCCACTAGAGAGAGCAGTCGGCCAATACTCAACAGAGAGTGAACAGCTGTGTTCCAGTGCCATCATTTGTCTTCTGTATTAACTGAACTTTGTGTCATGATCTGATGAGGCTGATGTTTAAATCCAGTGTTTGATCTCCTTGATCCTGAGGACTTGCACATGAAACTGGTCCTATAATTTGGGAACTTCCCAATAGCGTCCTTGTATTGCAAAGCTAATCTTAATCAAATCTGAGAATAGAACTGACCCTTTGTGACTTGCGTAAGGCACAGCTGGTGAAATATGTCTGGCCTTTGCCTGAGCAGTCATTTTCTCCAAGCTGTCACAACATTTCTTAATTACGGCGACTGAAAATAAATGCTGTCAGATCTGGTTTTGGATTGAGGAGATCAGTGAAGGCGCTTGTGGACGCTTCTAAATAACACACCACATTTGGGTTTAGACCTGCCAGATCATTAAGAAAACGGAGGACTTTGAACCTGTGATGGGTTAGAGGGAACATGGTGGGAATCTCCCAAACAACTGTCTCCAGAGAGGTTAAATAGTTCCCAGTTATGGGGAATTACAGGGTCAGTAGACAAGTGTTTTGATCTGCTGATTTCAAATGAATGGTTGGGTTAATGATAATGCTCAGTGTTTGGAGGAAGTTTCTAGGCCCTTCAAGGGAATAAACCATAATTCAAAGACTTCAGGTGAAGGAGAAAGGAAAGGAGGATTGCAGCATGTACACTGTACAAAGTATAACGTAATTAGTTACCTTAAAGAGCTATTTATTCCGTATTCAACAGAAAGATACCATTTTAGTGACTATTTTTTCAGTTTTGCTACAAGAAAAATGAGTTGTTCTAAAGCACAGAAAAAGACCCACAGGTCAAATGATATCACCGTTCTCAATCTCCATATCCAAATGTAAACATTCATTACAAAGAGTAACATGCGATGTTTTAATATAGTCGCAAGCAATTGTTAATTCTAATTGGATTTCAAACCACTCACAAATGTGTTTTTTGCTATTCAGATGACAAATAATGTAAAGGATTTGAGTTAAAGTGGTGAAAAAAAATCTGCTGTCTCACAATATGAGGTCTTAAGGTCCTTGCACACTGAGTCCGAAACTTTCGTATGCGTTTTTCCGTTTTTTTTCTTTCGTATTCGTCATCCTTTGCTATCAAAATGCTTGCTACGGATGCGAAAACGCAGAAATTTCAAACCACTCACAAATGTGTTTTTTTGCTATTCAGATGACAAATAATGTAAAGGATTTGAGTTAAAGCGGTGAAAAAAAATCTGCTGTCTCACAATATGAGGTCTTAAGGTCCTTGCACACTGAGTCCGAAACTTTCGTATGCGTTTTTCCGTTTTTTTTCTTTCGTATTCGTCATCCTTTGCTATCAAAATGCTTGCTACGGATGCGAAAACGCAGAAAATCGAACCTGGTCCGAATTATTTTATGACGGATGAAAGTTTTGGAGGCAGTGTGTAAACGTGATTGACACAACATGAGGTCGTATTTATTTTTCAACGTGCGAACATTTCGGACGAAAAATTCGGACTCAGTGTGCAGAGACCTTTAGTCTTCTAAAAATGTAAAAATAATTGTAGCTACTGTAATAATTATAATAAGCTACTGATTAATTCAGTGCCTTAAACAAAACTTGGTAAAATGTTACAATGTTCTATTTGTTAACATTAGTTAACTATTAGTAATCATGAACTAAGTATAAAGAAATTCTGGTCACACTTTATTTTAAGGTCCAGGTCTTGCTATTAATTAACTATTAACTACGACTTACTATCAAACACCTAAATACTGCTTATTAATAGGTAGTTGTTAAATTTAGGTATTAGGGATGTAGAATATGGTCATGCAGAACATGAGCTTTATAAGTACTAATAAACAATGCTGCTTTGTGTACAGTCGTTACCGGGGAAACGACTGTTTTGTGCTGTTCAAAATGCGCCACCTGCTGACAATTTGCTGTTCTTGTTCAGAACAATGCAAAACTTGCTAATGTGCCTTCAAAAATCCAAACGATTAACAAAGTAAGGTGTGTGTGTTTTAAATGAAGATAATATTTGTGTGTTGGTGTGTTTTAAATTAAGACAATAACTTATATGCACTTTTTACTAATCCCTTTTCTTGAAAATAGTTTGAAGGCTGAAAAGTATCACTATATAAAACTTTATTTATTTGTGAAAAACCTGTTTTTGAACCGCAAATCATGTTTTTTTACAGTCATTTTACGGTATCAGTCATTAATATGTTACCATAAATATTGCCCTACCCCGACTTAAATTTTATTTTAAAAAATACTGCAGATACCCAGTAAATTCTTTCATTTTTAAAATGTATAATTTATATACTGTATGTTGGCTATTTATATTAGGTAATGATATATGCAATCCAGACAGGTGGTTTTTAATAGCACAATAAAATCTGATTTAAAGTGAAGAACTCATGTATGTAAACATGTATTTTACCACAGTTGTAAAGTGCTGGAAAATCTTGAAAATTTTAATTTTACTTTGGAAAAGGTGAATTTTACTTTGGAAAAGGTGAATTTTACTTTGGAAAAGGTGCCAAAGTAAGAACCCTGAAAGAGATTTAAGGAGGGGGAAAAAAAGGTTTAAGATTTACGACAGTTTAAGTTGAAAATTAAATTTTCAGGTCCTCAAAAAGTGGTTAACAAGTAATAATTGGACTATAACTACTGTATAAAAATCCCCTAAATATAATAATAAATAAATAAATAAAAACATTATCAAACTAAAATACAGTACATTCATTTAATTAAAGTATTAAAAAGGCAGCCATAAGAAGCGCCAGAGGGTTAAGTGGACTAAATGATTGGAGAAGTCACAATAATATAACATGCGTGTACAAAGTACAAAAATGGCGAATATAAGTACGCAGATTGTTATGCAGTTGCAGTTGAGAGCAAGTTTCTCAGGTCTATTGAAGGTCTTTGTTTTATTGAGAAGAGCTAATCATCTCTGTCCAGATGACGAGTCACTCTCGGCTCTTATCAGCGAAATCTCCCGCCAGATTCTTGTTGTAATGGCAGCGTGAACCGAGCCTCGTGTTTGACTCCAAGAATGTTTGTCGAACTTGAAGGGGGAGGGAAAATGTCTCTCTGTGTTGGTATTTCCGTCTCGCATTTTTAGCCATTTGTTTTTTCCCTTCATACATCTACACTTTATGCAACACAGATGTCTGAACAGTGCTGATACGTGCGTAAAGCTTTTGTACTGTACACTGTTGGTTGTTTGAGTCAGCGGTCACCTACACGGCAGAAACCGAGAACCGCCTGACTGCTGCCTGTGTTTGTTTTGGCAATATGACAATATTTCCATACATGTTCAACGGCAACAAGAACGATAAAGCCAGGGAAAATCCCTGAGCATTTTAGGATTCTCACATACTGTGGTTACAGTTAGTCCTGCTGTTGAAAGGATAGAGTCAACACAATAATAATGAGAATTATCACAGGAAACCTCAGTAGTCCTATCTTAAAATGACTTTTCCTATGTGAAAGTATAACAACTGATATTAAGAAGCCAATGTGAGGAAAGATAATTCACATTTCTATCATCTAGAGCTATTAATACTAAAGAAAAGTCCTCAAATGCTGCTTGCATCCCAGTCAACTTCCTTAAAGTAAAACCTGATGTGCAGAGGGGGGTCAAGTTAAGTGTAAATGCTATTTAGAGGGGCCCAATATATCATATTACCATCCTATGGGCTTTTCACATTTGAAATTAAGCCTGTGTGATTGTGCACCCTGGGTTAATGTTATTTTAAGTTATACAGTATCTCACAGAAGTGAGTACACCCCTCACATTTTTGTAAATGTTTTATTATATCTTTTTATGTGACAATACTGAAGAAATGACACTTTGCTACAATGTAAAG